ATTTTAATTAAAATACAGCTAATTGAGCATAAAAGGGAATATCTCTCCTCTAGAACTGCTACTTGTTGGTCGTTTTGGTTTATCAGTAATTTGGTTTGTGTGTGTGTGTGTGCGTGCGTGCGTGCGTGCGTGCGTGTGTGTGTGTGTGTGTGCCTACAATGATATTTTTATTCTTCAACCATTTTTTTCAATAAATTTTAGAAGCTGAAAATTATTCTCAATTTAGATCAACAAAGGATGATCATTGGTCACATATTTTTTTCTCAAACAAGGTAACGTGTCCCTACGATTAAAACTTGTAAGCAAAATTTGTGAAGGGCTGCCAACTACCATGTTTGTTTACCCATGGAAATGGCCAAAACAAAGCAACAATGCATTGGACATTGGACAATATTGGTGTATCAGCCATATCTTCACTCAGATATGTTGCATAAAGTATGCAAATAAGTGTTTACATTCATTGCATGCCTGCATTACAGAGTGACACACCAATATATCTTGAAAATCCATGGAATAAACTTGCTTAAATGTCACCATTTGATATAATTCATTGCCTTTTTATGTTTGATTTCATAGTTTGCGATGAGTACCTTTAATGAAAGAAGAACCTTAGAAAAACAAATAAGGATTAAAATAATACAATCCAAAAATCTCTGAGGAAATTTATTTACCATTTCATTTTTCAAATATTGCCACGAGTTTCATGTAACATTTTGAATTTAGGTGCCTTATTTCCAATCATGATCCACTTCCCTTTTATTGTTTTCCATTAAAATTCTATCCATCAGCTCCAGGCTCCTCTGAGAAAAATGTGTTTTGAATGTCACAAGCATCAGTTATTCAGAATTCAGTCAGTCATCTGACAACCTGCATAAAAAGCTGCCCAGACGCTATTGATCATTAAGCATGGGATTCTGATCACAACCCCCCTTAGATAATTGCTGTTTACTGCATGTTTGAGCTCATGGATTAGTAATTATCAATGATTTTGGTGCTGAATCTTTTGGCGTACCTTTTTTTTTTATTATTATCATCAGTGTTTCGGCACATGCACAATGTTTTGCCTAATAAGCTGTCTGTTTCAGAAACAAATCAATCACTTTGGAGTTTTGAATTTTGCATTCTCTTCATTTCTCTCCACACGAACTCAGAATTTGGAAGTAAATATTTTCTCCATGTTTTCCTAAAAGACTCGATGAATTATTCCCTTATATTTTTATTTATATGCATGTGTGTGTGTGTGTGTGATACAGCTCGATGAAGGTTAAATAACCTGGGTTGTACTGCTGATTCTCAATTAACTACATAGTGGCTCTATGGAATAAACTGCACCTGTGACACCAAGAAATTTCACTTCAGTGGATAAAGCAAATCCTTATTTCATATCCAAATAATAAACCAAAGCTGACTTTTGGTTCATCTCCTCCTGGGTAATATATTGCTTTTTGTTATTGGTATTTTGAGGTGCCCTTCCACTCCTGAAAACCAGTTGTAATTTTAAACAAACCATGGAAGCTCAATCACAGTCCACACACAAGAAATGGGTGAGCTGAAATATCTTTTCAATGTGTTTGTTTACCTTTTGGAACAAATAACTTGTGTCACATCCTACACTTGTCACTTTGTTTTACCAAGGCTGAATGTTTGTTTTGAGATAATCATTCTTCATGATGAAAATTAGTGCRTGGAGGAAAGATGAGGGCTGAATGACAGCTGAAAATGGCTCATAAGACTGAGTTTTTAAAGTTAAAAGTAGCAGAACACTAACTAAAAAGCAAAAGGTTAGGTGAAAGTAGCATATATATATATATATATATATA